AAAGGTGACAGTGTGTGTATAGCTGCAGTTTAATAAGATGAACAGGAGGATTAAGGATAAGTTATTGAGTTTAAGGGAAATGCTTTTGGTTCTAAGACAAATTATTTCTGTCTTCCAGTGTTCTTTCTTGTTTTCAGAAGATGGGTGGTATATGGAAGTTGCTGTCTAGCCATCTTTTCCAAAAAGTAATGCTTTCAAGACTTGCTTTTTTTTTCAGTTGTACACTATACCTCGATGTGTGGTGTAAGATGATCTAAACTGGAGGGGCAAGCTGTTGCATAATTGAGAAAGGATATTTGACAACTACTTACAAGCCTATCTTATTACAGCGCAGGGGATTGGTAAAGATACTTCTCACCAGCAGCTGGGTAGATAAAGTATCTTTAGCCTAAATCCACTGCAGTTTTTTAGCAGCTCTGTTTGAAACAATTCCAGTGAGATCTTCCTTGAGGTCAAAGATCTGAAGTTTTAATGAGGGTCAGAATAAATGCTGCTTTGAGTAGCATGTTCATTACCTGCCTTGCTGTTAGCTTCATAATGTTCTTTCATAAGAAAGGAAGAAGGAAACTGGAAAGATCATGATAACTGACTACCTTCAGTAACACATTCAAGTCTTTTACTATATCTACCAGCAAGGGGACATGAAGTTATACTGAAAGGCAGAATAGTTCTTCACGTTATGAGTTCATAGCAATGGATCATTTTGAGCTTCAAGTGGATCTTACAGATATATATGATGCAGGAGACAGCATGGCATCTTTGAGTTCAATCACATCTGTTTAGAGGAGTCAAGTTACCAACTGAAAAACACTGGTTGCTTGGCCAGAAAACTCTCCTAGTGGTGGAGGCTCTTGCACTGAGAGGTGTCTTATCTCACACATTGCAGGCTTGCCCTAGGGATGATTGTGCTGTGCAAAAATACATGAAAGTTACAATGGCTGTTCTGAAGAGCTTACACTTTCACTGATGATAAAAGTCAGAACCAAATTAAAATATTTTGGGAATGTTCTGAGTTATTGTATCTGTGGGGTATATTGTACAGCGCATAATCAGAAGTATGTAATTTGGGAGTGGGTCAGCATGGGAAGTGGAGATGCATTTTTATTTGTGCTAGCAGGTTTGTGCAGCAGTTCTGCTGAATTATTTTATTTATTTCTTCTTGGGGGATAAATATCCAGACTCACCAAGGGATAATGAAATTGCTGGAACAGGATCATAATGGATTCAGTTTTGTCCTAATCAAACTGCAGTGGTACTGTGTGATTTACTTGCATTCAACTGAGCATGATAAGAGCAAGGTGATACGGCTGAGTCCTGGAGACAGCTTCTTCCAGGCAGCTCATAGGACAGTGGAACTGTTAAAAAGCATCAGTCATTTTATATCTTCATGACATTGATTAATTGTTCAAAACTGCCTTTCTGTTACTTGGATGCACGGCTGTTGCTTGGTTCGTTCCTCAGAAAAGACTATTTAGAAGGGCAGATTTAATGTGGGTACTTCGTAAGGAATAGCTGAAAAAAAGGGATTGCTTAGTTTCATTAAGCGTCTTTATAAACAGAATTTGAGGATTGTGTTCTGTAAAGTCGGCTGTAAATTATTTATAAAATTATATTTAGATTTTTATTGTATTACTTGATATGAAAATGTTTGAAATAGTAAGACTTTACAAATAGCATAGAATGACATAAGTCAGGTATTACTAATTCTGCTGTTAGATGAGCTTTACTTTAGTCTTTACAATTTTAAAAACAGTTCAGTGTTATAGAATGTTTAATATGTTGAAGTGATTCGTTTTGCAATGCAGGTCTGAAAATCTGTTCGAACTAGGTTAAACTTCCTAACCGGAAAGAAGCTACAGCTACCTTTTTTCTTCTCCTTGTCCTTTTTCACCCTGCAAATCTGTCTCTGTTGAAAATCTGTGAAGCCATTATAGCAATTCCTTACAAACAGCATTGTATTATATCACAGCATTTGTGTCCTAATAATAAAGCTGCACTGAAGTTAAAGTGAAATGCCCAAATAGCGGTTAAATTATTAAAGAATAGTTTTTTTAGAATCTTTTGTACAGTATTGTTACCATAGTCATTGTTGAAAAGCTTTCTTTGATGTCGTATTTATACTACAGCCTTTGACAAATACGCTGAAGGTCACTTTAAATGTGGATCTTGTGTCAGTTTTCTTTCCTTTTTGGATGCAACTGAGAATCGTGCTAAATGGGGACTTCTGAAAATATTGTTGAATTTGAAACGAGATTGGTTTTTGAATTACTATTTATTTTCATTTATGCAATAAGTACATCATAAAATTCAGCTTTTAAACAGAACATAAACAATCGCTTTTAAAATCACAGTAAGTAATGAGCAGGCTGGAAATGCTTTAGATCCAGTGGGATGGAAAAATAGTAATAGTGGATGCGGATAGTGTGAGGGATGAAGATCAATGGAGCAAGGCCGAATGGAAGAGTAGCAGAGAACTTAATGCTGTACAGCTAAATCGTGCCCATCTGTGTGTTTAGTGGAATCACTGTTTAGATGCTTTTCTTGTGTTTTAGAATGATGGTATGAAATTGCTCAGCAATGGGCTTCCTAAATATTTACAGATATAGCTTAAATTGGACATCTTAAGGACTAAAAATAAATTCGGGATTAGTTTTTTTCTAAAATCCATGAGCTAAATCTTCACAAAAGTGTTGTGACATCCAGAGATAACTCTTAGGTAGGCTTATTTAAAACAAGATCAAAAAGCCAGTAGAGGTATATTTCCTTGAAATATGAGGCAGCATCTATATTAGTGGATCTTCTCTTGAGCTGGTAGAATATTCAGTGAGTGTATAGTTCCCTGAAGATTAAAAGAACATAATGTATATGTTGGTCATAAAGCCAGAGCCAGGCTTTTAGAACAGAACATATAATTCTAGAGCTTTCACAATGACAAATACAAATGGCAGTCTGAGCCTTAACTGACCTTTTGTATATCTAAGTGAAGGCCTCCAAACAGGATTTTCCTCATTGTTGTCCAGCAGCATAGGTCACTTGTAATAAAAGATTATAACCTTCTGACCTCAAAATTATTCTCCTGTTGGAGTACCTTGTTTCAGATACCCTACTTGAAAATGTTGGTGCTTTTGGCTTAGAGTTCTGTAATTTATTGATTTTTAACATAAATATGCTGACATTAAAAACTTCACACGTTATCAGATTTTAAAATTAAAGATCCATTCTGCCTCTCTGCAGTCAAAGCCTTTGAGTTTCATTTGTTTGTGAATATATAATATACCATCCTAAAGATATTAAGCTTCCAGCCGTTATCTACAGCTCTTCTGAAATTATGGCTTAGCTATTTTTCATATGTGACGAGTCAAAAAACATTCCTGTACTGATCTGAATTTGAAGCAGTCTCCAACGTACAATGTTCTACAAGTATTTACGTAGTCCAAAACCCATGCAAATGGGGTAGTTTCTACTTAAAGGGATGTTGATACCTTCTGGCTTAACATCTCTAGTCCAGATGCCAAAATTACAAAGCCATTCTTAACATATGCACACTTACAATTGATGTGTATATAGATATTTCAAACACTGAGATGTTTAAAAGAACTTTTTTTGCATATATAGCGTTTTATGTTCAGTCATATACTTCCATATTAACAATGGAATTTGTATTTGCCAGTAACTCTGCAGGTTACTTTCATGACTTTGCCTCTTGATTTTTTATCCCTTCTCTCTTCTTAAAATCAAAGACTTGAGGCTAAATTCTTCAAGTCCTAGATTAACAGTAGCACTAACATTTTTTTATATTTGTCAGTATCTCTCCAATATTTAGTGGGGAGGGTGTCAGCCAAATGTTAGCATATAGTTTAAGGGAATTTCTAAAACCCTACCCCATACCTTAGTTCTGTGGTTTGCTGAAGATTTTCTTTCATTGTTCCCCTGCTCCCCAGTCAGGCATGCAAGAATTTTGTGGTGCTGCACAGGGAATGTGGGTTTTGCTGATATTGGGAGGAATGACAGATTAAGGCTAATAAGAAAACTGAAGTCTCCTTAATGTCTGCCTGTATCACCTTCTCGATAAATTTGTGATTAATACTCAATGATATGAATATTGTTAATTAATGCAGTTCCTTAAGTATCTGGAAATCAAGAACTCTGTAACATGGCCTCTCAAAACCACTTTCTAAATGAAGCTTTCGAGTTAACAAATAGTAGACACTATGACTAGTTGGAATGGGTTATGTATTTCAATTTGTGTGACTTTCAGTACCTAGCCATACAAACCTAAATAGAGCTGAAATGAAGTGGAGTGGAAATAGAAACTACGTGGCTTATGCAGCAGGCAGTGGAGTAAACTTTTGCAGTGCGTGTGGTTTTACTCAAAAGTTGGAAGTGGTGATGCATTTAAATTGGGGAGCAATAAAGGAATAACACTAAATTTCCCTTTTCTGTGTTCTTATGTTACTGCTAATTATTTGTTTACTTCATGGGGGGGGAAGCTGTATATTCAAGAATTTAAACATGTGCCTATCATTTCATCAGAAAATTTGAAACTCAAAAAAACCCCAACAATTAAATAGTAGTTACTAGCTGTCTAAGTGAAACTTGTACATGTCTGGAAATGGCACGATGTGCAGCGATGGTAGCGATGTGCAGATCCAGCTCCAGCCAGATACAAAGAGAGATTTATGTATCTGAAGAATACAGTTCTTTTTCATATCACAGATAAAACCGGCATATAAGCTCTTTAGGTGGGGTCAGTTGACATATAAGAATGTGACATAAATCAGCACCTCACCAGGTTTAACCACGGTCAGTTTAACTTAACTTCATTGTCAAGACCATTGGTTATGCTTTTGAAAACATGAAAGAGAACCTTCACAGACTTGCTTAATTCCAATTAAGTGGGAGCAATTTCTCGTGCAACATAAGGAGCTTGAATGCACCTGTTATGTTACTGTTTATAATTCAATAAAGTAAGCATAGTAATTTCCTATTTATTCTTGCAGGAGAGGCCCTGAGAGGAAAGATTACAGTCCGCAGGAACAGAAAGGATCCACGATCCCTTTTTATAACCCTCTCAGTGAAGGATGCAAAACAGACCTACAGCCTTCAGTGAAAACACTGTGCATGTAACTTTGAGAAATGTCGTATTTAGAGGTTTGATGTAATGGTTGATAACTTTTCTAAATACACAAAAATAGTAAACACTTGGGTTGACATATATGTGTGCATACGAATATGAAAAGTCTAGAATTGAGAGATTACTCTTTGGATGCTTTTTCAGTGGGATACAGAGACTGATGACAAAACTAGATTCTGCTGTGTTTCACATGGTAGGGGGAAAGAAGGAAAAGCTGGTTTGGGGTTAGATGAATCTGCTGGGGATGAGAGGATCAGAGTAGTCTTGCTCTGAGGAATAATAAAATTGATCTCTACTTTATGTTAACTGAATATTGTTTTATTCTCTATCTGGTAAATGTTACCATTACAGAGATCCTTGGACAATTCCTTAGCAAAAAAAAAAATTAAAGTTAAAAGATGTGCCAACACAACTTAAGAGTAGTTAGAAAATCGCAGTGGAAGTAAATTTGGAATTCACACTGCAGGATTACAGCAGCAAAGACTTTATTTTTATAACATTTTTATAACTAAAATGTTGTATCACATTTCAATTATATTCATCTAAATAAATGATCCTTGTATGCTGTATAATGCAGTTGGCTGGATTTTTTTTTCTATTTAATTGAAGATTGTTTCATCTGTCCCATGATGGCTCATTTATCTGTGGCTACGGTTTTTTTCTGTACTAGTCTGTTGGAAAAAAGATGGATGCAAGTGTATATTTCAGCAATTTTAGGAAGAAAACTATTAGTAAACAGCAGTGGTTGCTCCAACAGTGAATTTGGTTTGGCTCCTTACAGAAACTAATTATGAGCAGTCAAGGATTGATGTGTGTGTCCTGATGTTTAAACACATTAAACTGAATAGAATTTGATATGTGTAACATTATGCAGTTAATGTGCTTGTATTGTACAAATATATTTGTGTTGAAAATTGTTTCAAATATAATGTTAACAAGCAAAGAAGGGAGTGCTTGCCAGTAACCTCTGAACTTTTGTTAAAATAATGTGTTAAAACTTCTACCAAAAGAAGATATGAGTGATGTACATGTCAAAAAGCCATGGTAGAAGACTGTCTGAAGATACCCTTTTACCCACACCCACAGGTTGACATGCAGATGAATGATGAAGGTTGATGGAGGACAAGCTCTGTCCTTTTTTTTTTTTTTTTTTGCTTCGAGGAAACCGCAGGTCAAAAGAACTTAAATACCATCCATTAGAGAAAGTATAGCAAAACTTTCTGAATTCAGAGCACAGCAAAGTAAAAAAACTAACTAAAATGTAGTTGGGAAGACCTTTTTTTTAAAGGATTAAAAACTGAGAAGGAAATTCCTTCCCTTGGAATCTGCTCAACAAAGTTTGCATAATTGTGTATTGTATAATGGGATTAAATACTTTATTCTTCTGCCTGTAACTGAAGATTAGTAGTATGTTTTCAATGATGAATAAACTATTTTTTTTTACCCTCCTTCCCAATTTGGCGGAGAAGTAGAAACTTGTTTCAACTTACACTGCTTTTATCCTCTCTTATGGAAACATGTAGCTTACTAATTTGCACCCAAATAATTTATTTGCCTTTGGGTTGGGGGGAGGGAGAATCCTTTCCTGTATGAATGGTATTGCATGAGTATTAGTGATTATCATCTAGACGTTCAAGAACTCAGTTCACATATGCAGCATAGTAGTAGTTCAGGTGCTGAGCACGTAATCTGGTCAACTCATTTTGATGGTCTAAATGACTCCTTGAACACTAGAAGGATTCAGCCCCATATTGACACCTTGGTTGTTATGTTCACCTAATAATAAATACGAATTGATTGCTTCCACTGAATTTAGATTCTCTAGTTTTATGAAGGGGGAGACCTCACAGTTGACAAGGTCTGTATATTTCCAGAATTTTGTTTTCAAGGTAGACGTGGCTGTAAATAATTAATAGCAAATGAGACGATTACATTAAAAATACCGAAGACAGACAATTTATTTCATAGTTGCATCTGACAAGTATGAAGGCTCTACAGTGATGTAGTTGATGGAGAAGTCTCTATGATTTTGTAACATTTTTCTAGCTTAGTGCCATATTTTCCTTTCTAGAGCGCATTGATTATCCTTGGCTGGTAAAATGACTGAGTCTGGTTGTCTGAAACTCAAACTGTTCAGCTCTGTATAAAGACGGACCTTGCAGATGAGATGTGAGTAGTTGGCATCAGACTGATTAATGGGAGTTTGTGATATGGTTATCAGTATTAGACAGTGTATGTGCAGGCTAATTTCGCCCTTTCCAGAAAAGCGCTACCGAAATGCAATGACAGACTAAGCAAAATTCTCATATTAGCATTCTCATAGGTTTTGAGATGGAAAACGAGAAAGCAGTGGAAAAACGTATACAGAGTTTGCACAGCCTTCAGTAACAGGGAAGCATTAGTGAAGAAGTGGTTGAAAAGATGTAAAAGAGAAGAGGAAATTCTAGCTACGGTAAAGATATTGCAAAAAGAAGAAGGGGTGTGATATATGCTCATGTCTGCAGGAGCAAACGAGTAGGAGATGCAAAAAGGAGAAAGGGAAGTTAGGATGATAGATTAAAGCGATTAATGTGTACATGTAGCAAACAGAAGCAAGTAAGGCTGGCTAAGAATCACTGTGGATGTAGAGAGAAGAATCATCAACGGCCATACTTTAGAAGAGTGGCAGTTTTTGCTATTTAAGTTCAAGAAATCCAGATCTGGAAAAAAAAAAAATCTTGATGTACCATTGTCTCTTGTCAAACCTGGGACAAGGTGTGGTGAGAGGTGGAAGTTGTTAATGAAGGTAACAATAGAGTAGCACTTCTTTCTTCTTAAAGAGGGTGATGAGAAGCATGTGAATTTATCTATATCGGGTGTTTGTAGTCTTTGTGTGTCGGTGCTGGTCACAGGCATTGCTTGTTGGTTATCTTGACAGACACAGAGTTGTACTTCATCCTACACCTTTTGTCTTTTCTGGTAGACTGTTTGCAGTTGTTTGTTACTCTTTGGCCTTGAGCTATAAGACCCAAGCCTACCCACTTTTGTACTTCCAAGGACATTTGCTCCCTACACACATTCTAAATTTATTTTATCATAGGCTGATACAGCCTCTATATTGTCCCGGTTGTAGTGGTAGTCAGTCTTTCATGTACTAATTTTTTTTAACTAGGTCAGTCACAGTTTCAGGCCTACGTTTATTACTTTAATGTTTGTACCTGTATTTAGAAAAGAAGGAAAAAAGTGAATTGCAAGGAGGCTGAATTTCACTTTTATATCTCCTAACAGTACTTGTCTGTTAGACCAGCTGACACTATAAATTGAACTAGGTTACATCACTGTATTTATTAACAGCAACTCCTTACATAACACAATCTGTTTCCTGACTAAGAAATATCAGATCGATGCATCCTATGGGTTAGCTCTGAAACTCACACGTGGCATTTATTTACCTGTCTCTTATTCCTTTAGGTCTGTTTTCTCCCATCCTTTTTCTCCTTTTTCCTGCGTACTGATGTGTATGGTTGCAGTTTTAACACACACAGCGAACCCCACCGGTGGGTGGCTGCTGTCCTGTTTGCAACACCCGTTGTTTCTCTTGCACTTCTTTTCTGGCACAATGTGAAGATTTCTTTGCTATTGTCTCAGTTTCAGAGTATGTCTTTCTCTCTTGTCCCTGGCCTTTGTTTTCTCCTGTTCTGAGGTGGGTTTTTTTGAATTTGTGCTGTCCCCTGACAGTATTCCCTTGTTTCTGACAGCTGGAGCTTCCTTTTATCTGAAGGCTCTCACTTAGCAAAATATCTCCCCATCCCTAGACTGCTCTCCTTCTCCCTCCTCCTTTCTTCTGAATGTTGACTGTGCAGAATACACTGAGAGATGCAACAAACCGCATATGAGCGTAAGCTTTGCTTCAGCAGTCGGCGTTGCACAGGCTGTGCTTGATTTGCGAGCATGGTGGAAAGAGGATGCAGATGCAAGAATACAAGTACAGATAGAGAGGATTGTTATGGATTTTGACCTTGAAAGCTTGTGAATTAGTTATTGCTATTGTGTTATTATACCATTGTTATAATAGAGAACTGCTAAGGCAGATTAGAAGTATCTTAATTTATTTAGTCTGGGATGTACGTCTAGGAGGATGTCAAGAAAAAAACGGTTCAGAGATTGGCAATTTCAGGTCAATGGTCAGATGCATGAAATAATTTGAAACTTGCTTAAGGTGTGTGCGAAATAATTTCATATGCCAAAAAAGCCTTTTCTTAGGCTTCAGTAAAATTTAGGACCATAATTTTTAAATTCATTTCTGTGGGACCCGGGAGAAGCAGGGGACAAATCAATGCATAGTGGTAACAGCACATCTGTTTTCCAAGATGGTGAAAATTTGCCTGCCCCAAACTGTCAATAGCAACTATTCATTTATTGGAAAAGATTCTTTATTTACAAATTTAGAATTAGATCAAGAAACCCACAGTGCAGGTGTTAGTAGTGTCGTGGGAATATATTTGTGTGCATGCCTCCTATATATATGTATATGTAAGTATATATACACACAAACGTACTAGAGGCCTACCAAACTTTTCCAGTTTGCACTATGCATTTCTAAAATACTATTTATTAACGATACTATTTGTAAGTGCATATTGTATTCAGTGAATGTTTTGTATTTAAACTGACTTCTATAAAAATATACTTGTAGGTTAATTACTATGATTATGTAACGAGTGAAGCTTCTATCAGAAAAACAGCATTTATGTTGTGAATGCTTAGTATGCTTGAAGTGTAAGTGAGAGTGCAGCTGTTACATATATCTTTATATCCCCCAACAGCTGGAATACACAGAAGACAAAGGAGAGGTGTGTGAATCTGGAGAATCACAATGGAATGTTCTTGCTGTTGTAAATAAGTAGGATATAAATATAATTATTTCAGATGATAATTTTTGAGCAATATGATTGCTGTAAATATTCTTGCTGGGTCAGCGATTAAGTATTCTCTGATTAACATAGGTTAATCTGGGTTACTTGATGTTTTACTGCAGTTGCTATTGAACTTCAGTAGACATAACAGTGCTTTCGTTTTGTATTTAAAAAAAAAAAAAGTTGGTGACTTTTTTCCCTAAATAAATGTTTGTTAGCACTGGCAGTCCTAATCTCAACATTATAATTCTCTGTGGAATCAACAAGTGGCTGACCCAACTATTTATATTGTGTAGGTGAAATGTAAGGATGCTAGCAATATGGGCCTTTTTCACGTGTTTAAAGTTTTACATCCTGTTTACTCTTTGAAGAGGTCTTGTACATCTGTCCATTAACTCTGTATAGAGATAATGAAAATATGCACAGAAGTGTTATGTTTTGTATTTCAAATCAAGAGTTAAATACAGATTTACCAGTAAGAAATATTTTTCTCTCAAAGAAAAAACAGTATTCTGAAAAGGTCTAAGGTTTACTTCATGTAATTCTGTTGAAACAACATATGGACAAAGCATTGCCAGTAGTAGAGAAGCACAAGGCAGCTTTCCCAGGCAAAATCTTTTTATAGTCATATCTGCCACTGGTTAGCGTTTTTGTCACTTATTGAAAGTAATAGATTATTTTTAACATCTCAAGAGAGTAGCTTGATATTTTAAGCAAGATACTTGAGAAATTGATCGTTAACGATATTTAACGATTACTTTGCAAGTTAATAACTCAAAAATACTGCAGGCTATTGAAGCCAGCAGGTTGATAGCTATAGACCTGGAGGAAAAAGTTATCCTATTGAGTTATCTTTAATATGCCACAAATATACTTACTCTATGGGATGGGAAATCACTTGAAAAAAATCCTATGTTGGCTATAAATAACTAGATTTTTTTGTGTTGGGAAAGTATGCCTTTGTAATGCTTGTGTAGTGAAGAATGTTGAAAGCACAAATTTTTAACATCTAATCCAATAGTTGCATCTTTTTCCAGTAAAAGTTCTCAATTATCCCTTATCATTCTTCATTCTTACTTAAGTAAGTTATATTATACTTAGCTGAAGGTCAGTCCTGTTAGATTTGACTAGAGATTCATGAAAGTGCTTCTCATATTTAGATGAAACTGAAAGATGGTGTACCTTAACTAATTTGAAAATCTGTGCCTAAAGTCTGTGTTTTCTCTGCTTCAGTATAACTAACCCCACCTGAAAAGAGGTTGGATGCTCACTGCTCCACTTCCTACTCAGATGCTAAAGTACATTTTTCCCCCCTTTTTGTGATCTACTGGGTTTTTTTAAATCTTCTTTATCTTCTGTAGTGTATTTAAATGTTTATCTAGCTAAGCTGTGAAAGAAGCTTCCTTGTTCTGCCCATCAGAGGGTCAGCAAGAAAGATGTAAACATGGAAGCTCCAGGTTGTTCATTAGTGAATCTCTCTTCAGTGTGCATCATGCTGGGGTCTCTAATAGGGTTTTTAACATGTGCACCTTAGTTTGACCTTCTAAATTCTGTTCCATAA